AAAGTAAGTAATTCAAGGACACCTTTGATTTTGATATATATATAAAATACATGACTATATTTTCATGAAAATTCAAGTAATGTAAGCTTACTTGGTAAAAAGGGGAAAGAGCAAATAGTTAACATTTTCAGAATAAGCATTTTTTTCTTCTCTCATAAAAGGAAATAAGTATTTTTCATTATATGCATAATACTTATTACAGATTTATGTCTATACTGACAGCTAACTGATACAGACATGATCAAATTATGCTATACCTTTACACTCTACTTTCTTGGTAGTGTTGTAGCATGGAGTGGGAAATTCAAGACAGCTGAGTATTCTAGACATGTTGCATCTGTTCCTGGGAATTAAATGCTGCATATGGTTAGCAAATACTGATTCAGTAAGCATATGTAAACAAAAAATGATTACTTTATTCTCAGTAATTTGGCTAGATATGAGAGGGAAAATAATATTGCCTCTACATTCATACTACATTTACTGTTTCATTTATTGTAGTATGGTAGAAGGATGAGATGATTATTGCTTAGATTTTGGTAACATTTGAATGGGAAGGGGCTATTGAGTACAATATATGTAGATATGAAAACTGTCTAAACTGTCTGCTCGTAACAATGTTGGAGATTAGTGCTATACAAAATGAGTTAAATAAACCCAATCTTGCTCTTGGAACAAATGAAGTCAGCCTCTGGCTTGGTTGGGGAGGCACACAGGTTAACAGATAAAATATAATGCTGAGACATATATGAGTTAAGTTTTGGGAATGCAGAGCACATCATTTAATAGTCTATAGACTTCACTGAAGAGCAGGGAAAATGGCATTTGGATAGTGGGAACATTATAGTAGGTCAGGAAAGGCCTTGGCATATTATGTGGTGGGAACTGAGCATAAAGAAGTGAGATGAATGGCAAAAGGTAGGTTACCCATTAAGACTGTAGGCACAGGGACAAAGACCCACAGTATTTGTGGCGGTCCATGAAAATATTTTAATTTCTTTTAAAATCAGAAGGAAAAAATGGACTTGTAGGTTGAAGAAAATGTTGTAGTATATACTACTAATACGTTCTCTTTATACCAATGCATTTATAAAATATAATTTTTTTAAAATATAATTTTCAATAGTTTTTATGGAGAAAGGGACTTATGAAAACAGAAGTTCCCAGGCCTCTAAAGTGATCAGGCGGCTCTGTTGGATATCCTCCTATATAATAAAGAGCTAATATGTAATTAGACCGAACAGCAGACGACTGTCTGGACGATGCTGGTGCTGCGAGGCAGCTAGGGTTGTGAGGGCTGAGCCCCTTGCACGAATTTCGTGCATTGGGCCTCTAGTATATCAAAAAGGACCTTATATGCACACATAGTGTTTGGATTTAATTCGAGGAGCATCAGGGAGCTAACAGATTTTTAGCATGATCAGATCAGCTCTGTCTTTTATGATGATGCCTCTATCAGCAGTTTGGATGAGATTCTTTTTAGTTTAATGTAGTTATGTTAATCAAAATTGTTTTAGTGCTTATTATAACCAAAATCACCGGTTTAAAATGAGAGCAATTAAAAAAAAATCCATCTCTAATCAGTATACCTGGTTAAGGATGTCCCTTAAAAGAGCTAATCGACCATACTTGACTGAATAAAATTTGTCTAGCTGTTAACAAATTTAGAACACTGACTTGTAAATGATCAGGTCTCTGTATGTGATCTGTGACAATATAATGCTAGGCTATACTGTTTCTTGTACTCTTTGTTTCATCCCTACTTTTCCTACATTATTTATGAAGAATTCAAAACTTTGTACAGAGATATTGCTAAGACTCATTCTACAAAGAGCATTTAAAAAGCTACAAACACTGTTTTACAAAATAAACTTTCTTTGTTTTGACCAGGGCAGTTTAGTTAGAATTCTTGCTAGAATACCTTTATATTGTATAAGAATTTGCTGAATCATAATTTGGAAAGTTACTCTTAAAATATCACATTATAATTGACCTGTACTAATGTTACTATCATAAAATAATCCCTGAAAAGTAGGCTCAAGTTATTTTAAGAAAAAAATTATTTAGTGAAAACTGAGGGATATTAAAGATATAATTTAGTCCCTTCCAATTGTATCTCTATTGCTTTGATAATCAATTCAGGTTAGTTGGGGGCGGAGCAGGGGAGAGGGAAACACAGGGGAGATTGGATTTGTTTATTTTTGTCTTTTTTTATAAGGAGGAATTTTAGGTTTCAATCATCAAATTATTTAATAAGTAGAGGTCTGATGCACAAAATTCGTGCAAGGGCTCGGCCTTGACTGCTGCCGCGGCAGCCAGTCCTCTGCCTTGGTCCCTGCCCACCGCAGCGGCTGCCTCGGCCCTCGCAGCCCAGGCTTTGTCTGGAAGGTTGTCTGGAAGGATGTCCGAAAGGACGTCCAGTCTAATTAGCATATTATGCTTTTATTATTATAGATGTCACTAAAAAGTTTTGATGTATTCAGGCCTTTAGCTACTTTTCAGTTGTAAAGGAGATCCAGGAAGAGCAAAAATTTTCATTTTGTATCTATTCTTTCACAAGGATATACATTTTCTTTTTCTTTTTAAATTAAACGAGGCACTTATTTATGTATGATCTTTATACTTCCAAGTACAGTTAGATTAACTCAGTAGTCAACGCAAAGTTCTAGTCAAAATGGATAACAGAAAAAGAGAAGGGAAAAAAGGATATTTTGGTTGTGGAAAACAAGAGATATTGAGTTCAGAAATTTATTCTGTCCTTTCTAACAAGACAAAAAGGGAAAATGAGTGGGTTATATAGCTTCACTATCTGGTATTAGGTAAGAAGCATTTCTTTAACTTAAGAAATGGAGTGGGGAGTAGTAACTTCCCGCCTGGATGACCGTATTTCCCGTGCTGCACCACGGCCTCCTCTTTCTCTTCCGGTCCCTGGGGGTCTGCGGGCTTTGGTGCAGAGATGGCCAAGTCCAAGAACCACACCACGCACAAGCAGTTCTGAAAATGGCACAGAAACGGCATCAAGAAACCCCACCACAAAGATACGAATCTCTTAAGGGAGTAGACCCCAAGTTCCTAAGGAACATGGCGCTTTGCCAAGAAGCACAACAAGAAGGGCCTGAAGAAGATGCAAGCCAACAAGGCCATGAGCGCATGCGCTGAGGCCATCAGGCCTGGTCAAGCCCGAGGAGGTCAGGCCCAATATCCCAAAGGGCAGCAGCTGCGAGCCCAGTCGACTTGCCTACATCGCTCACCCCAAACTTGGGAAACGTGCTTGTGCCCGCATTGCCATGGGGCTCAGGCTCTGCCGGCCAAAGGCCAAGGCCGAAACCAAGCCCCAGGCTGCGGGTGCAGCTGCAGCTCAGGCTCCCAAAGGGGCTCAGGCTCCTACCCCGCAAAGTGTCCAGGCTCTCGCTCCCAAAGGCGCCCAGGCCCCCACGAAGGCTGCACAGTAGAAGCCTCTGACTGCCAATGTGAGGACAGAAGGACTGGTGAGACCCCTGGGCTGCTGACTGCATGGAGCTGGTGTCCTCCTGTGCTATTTGTACAAATAAACCTGAGGCAGGATCTGTCAAAAAAGAAAAGAAAAGAAATGGAGTAGGACAGGGAAAAGAAATTATGCCTCATAGGCATGTTTTTCACATTACAGAGTTTATGTTTGTAGTTTGAATCTTTTAAGTATGAATTTGTGTTATATGTACTTTGTATGTAGAAATATTTTTAATTTTTATAATTTGGTAAAGTTTGCAAATTAGGGGATAATCTAAGGAAATACTGGTATTTAATGTATAAGATAATCTAAAATATAATTAAGATTGTCATTAAAGGAATTTGAATATGTGAGTACATGTGGTAAAAATATGGTAGAATCATAATTAGGTTAATACCTTAGAGTTATTTTTTACTATATTTTCTGGACATTTAGTTGATATTAATAAATATCTTCTAGAAGATTGCCTGAAGTGGTTTTAAATTGTTGAAATCAAGTCACATTTATTTTTCAGTAATTATCATCTGATTACTAAATTTAGTAATTATTGTCTGTGTCCAAAAAGACCATTATAAGGTACTTGAGAACTCTGTATTATCTACTTGTGAATACCCTAGTGGTATAGCTCAACACTTTGAAGGTGCTTTCTGTTGTGATATGACAGGGCTAGGAGTCTAAATTGGCTTGGGCACACAGTTGTTGGCTCTTTCATTCCTTCTCCAGAGTTTGGTCCTTAGTTTTGTGGGTTCAGAAACATTTTAATGAATCGTCTCCAGTGCTAAGGTGCTAGTGAATTAAGCCACACTAAATAAGATACACCTAAAATTAAGAAATAAATCAGAAGCCCATGAGGAATATATTGGCCAAGTGTAATAGTTCTGGCTAGTTAAACACATTAGGAAAGTCTACTTTAAGAAACCAAATAAAGATCAGCTGTTGCTTTTGAAAACCTTTTACTTCTTTGGTATTCTCAGTAATGTTGGTAAATATTTGTTAGCTGATGAATTATGTGGCAAATGTTCTCTTGAAATTAGTTAAATTAGATTATGTTTATGGAAAAAGATTGATTGGTATTGAAACTAAATTGGGTTGTCGCTTCAGTATAAGTGATTATTGAGCATTTCTTCTTCTGGCTATCATATTGGTATTTTTAATAACAGAAAGTCATTTTCTTTTCATCACTAGTAGCCATAGCTCTTTAAAAAATACATTTTTTTATTGATTTCAGAGAGGAAGGGAGAGAGAGAGAGAGAGAGAGAGAGAGAGAGAGAAACATCAATGATGAGAGAATCATTGATGGGCTGCCTCCTGCATGCCCCCTACTGGGGATCTAGGCTGCAATCCGGGCATGTGCCCTTGATCAGAATCGAACCCGGGACCCTTCAGTCCACAGGCCAACACTATACTGGTACCTACTGAGCCAAACCGGCTTGGGCAGTAGCCATAGTTTTTAAAAACAAATATATTAAGATATAATTTATATAACATGAAATTCACTCATTTTAGGTGAACAATGACTTTTTGTAAATTTATTTCTTTAGTTATTTTTAAATACGTGTTTTGTTGATTTTGGGGGAGGAAGGGAGAGGAAGAGAGAGATAGAAACATCAATGATGAGAGAATCATTGATCAGCTGCCTCCTGCACACCCCACACTAGGGATTGAGTCTGCAACAGGGCATGTGCTCTGACTGGGAATCAAACTGACCTCTTGGTTCATAGGTCAATGCTCAACCACTGAGCCATGCCAGCCAGGCACTTTTTGTAAATTTATAGAGTTGTGCAACCATTACTACAGTCTAATTTTAGAACATTTTCATCTCCCCCAAAGGAAATCATATATCCATTTGTAGTCACTCTTCTCATCCTTAGTTTACCATGTCTAACGATGCATATTTAGCTTCCCGTAGCTGACTGTAAAATATGAGAAAAGTGAATACTATAGAATTTCCCAAAATTATTTAGCCCTCTTGGCTGGTCCATTTGTTTGTTTTAGAGGTTTGATAATTCAGAGCATGGACATTTTTTGTTGATGTTAATTCTCACTGGAGGATATTTTTTCCATTGATTTTTTTTTTTAAGAGGGTGGAAGGCAGGGTGGGGGAGAGAGGAGAGAGAGAGAGAGAGGAGAAGAGGGGGGGGGGAACATCAATGTGAGATACATCTATTGGTTGCCTGCAGCATGTACCCCGACCAGGGTGGGATGTGCCTTTGACCAGGAATCGAACCCGAGATCCTCTGATGCACAGTCCAGCACTCTAACCACAGAGCCACACTGGCCAGGGCTAGAGCATGGACATTTTTTTAAAAAATATTTTTATTGATTTCAGAGAGGAAGGGAGAGGGGGAGAGAGAGAGAGAAACATCAGTGATGAGAGAGAATCATTGATTGGCCACCTCCCGCACGCCCCCTATTGGGGATCGAACCTGCAACCCAGGCACGTGCCCTTGACTGGAATCGAACCCGGGACACCTCAGTCCACAGGCCGATGCTCTATCCACTGAACCAAACCAGCTAGGGCTATGGACATTTTTGGATATTTCTTTATTCAGACACCAAAATTATTTAATAGGAGAAAGTGGTAATAATTTGTGTAAGAGTGGAGTTGCTTTTGGGAAATGAATTTTCAAGTTTGCTTCTTGTTTGGAGGTTATAAGTTAATTAATGGAAAGAGAGAAGTAATTGAATAAATATGAAACTACAAATTTATTCGACCCTTGTTAGGAATTTAGTAGGAAACTTTACAATACCTTTTAAAAAGACTTAAGATTTTACATAATAATGTTTTGCAAATTTTACCATAAAATTAATGTCATTCTTTTATTTTCTTTAATTTAGCTTCTCAGAATCAAGAACGTCTATGTGCATTTAAAGATCCATATCAACAAGACCTTGGGATAGGTGAGAGTCGAATCTCTCATGAAAATGGAACCATATTATGCTCAAAAGGTAGCACCTGCTATGGACTCTGGGAGAAGTCAAAAGGGGACATCAATCTCGTAAAACAAGGCAAGTACTACTTTTCTTACCTGAAATAACTTTGTGTTTCATAAAATTGAAGTTTATCTGAAAAGCATGGAGGTAGGTTAAAACCCTCTCCTGGAAAACAGTAATTTAGAAGTATATATCCATGTATATATATTCACTCACAAAGCCCAAATTTATAAATGGAATTGATTTTTAGGTGATTTAAATAATATCTTTCTTATTATAATAGCCTTATTGTATGAAATTTAGAAAATACAGAAAACTAAGAAAAACATACATGTACAATTTCATACTCCTAAGAATTTTTTTTTTAAATATATTTTATTGATTTTTTACAGAGAGGAAGGGAGAGGGATAGAGAGTTAGAAACATCGATGAGAGAGAAACATTGATCAGCTGCCTCCTGCACATCTCCCACTGGGGATGTGCCCGCAACCAAGGTACATGCCCTTGACCGGAACCGAACCTGGGACCTTTCAGTCCGCAGGCCGACGCTCTATCCACTGAGCCAAACCGGTTTCGGCGTAAGAATTTTTTTAATTCTACTAATTTATTCTATTAGGTGTGTTTCCTGTGTCCCTCTATGTTTATATGTGTGTGTACTTTTTGTTACCCAAAGTTAGGATAAACTATAAATAATTTCACACCAATTATTTATATATTTTTAAAAATTTTTATTGATTGATTTGGGAGAGTTATATCATGAATGTTTCACCAAGACTGTGAGTGTGTGTGTGTGTGTATGTGTATATATAAAGCATTTTTAACCTCTGCACAATATTTCATTGTATTCACATATGGCAGTTTACTTACACATTATTCTGTTGGTCATTGTGTTGTTTTCTGGTTTTCACTATAATACATACTACTTCAGTGAACATCTTTGAACATAAATCTTTGATCTTATCTAATTATTTCTTTGGAATAGATACCTCAAAGTAGAATTAATTAGATTTTAAAACATGAATATTTTAAAGGCTGTTCAGAAAAATTGCCATCTGGTTTTCCAGAAATGCTATATACATTTACATTCCCTCCAACAGTGTGTGAGAGTGTTATTGATTCCTTGTTACAGTAGTATATTATTACTTTTTAAACTTAGATCAATTTAATGTAGACAAAAATGAAATCTACTGTTGCTTTAATAATTCTTATATTAATGATGCAGTTAAACATTTTGTTGTTGGCTCCCCCGCCCCATGAAATGCCTATTTAAACTTTGCCATTTTCCTGTTATTTAAAAAAATTGTCTCCTATTGATTTGCGAAAGTATTTTATAACTGATGAGTACTCACTCTAACATTTATTGCAATTATTTCAATTATTTCTTAGTTTGTTGTTTTCATTTAATTTTGTTTATCGTATTGACCCTTAACATTATAAGGGTCAATGTTTACATTTATATCAATTTGTAGGATGTTGGTCTCACCTTGGAGATCCTGAAGAGTGTCACCATGAAGAATGCATTGTAACTACCACCCCTCCCTCAATTCAGAATGGAACATATCGTTTCTGCTGCTGTAGCACAGACTTGTGTAATGTCAACTTTACTGAGAATTTTCCACCTCCAGATACAACACCACTAAGTAAGTAACTAAAGTAACTTATTTTTCCTTGTAATTCCTTTCTCCAGAAATTTGCAAAATTAAAAAATATATACAAACAGCCATGGCTGGTTTGGTTCAGTGGATAGAGCAATTGGCCTGTGGACTGAAGGGTCCCAGGTTCGATTCCAGTCAAGGGGATTCCAGTCAAGGGCACAAACCTCAGTTGCAGGCTCCTCCCTGGCCCGGGGCCCTGGTCAGGGCACGTGCAGGAGACAACCAGTCTATGTGTTTCTCTCACATTGTATTTTTCTCTATCTTTCCCTCTCTTTTCCACTTTCTCTAAAAATCAATGGGAAAATATCCTTAGGTGAGGATATATATATATATATATCATTCAGGTTTGGCAGAAGTGAGAGGGAGAGTTCCAGCATCATGAGACTATATTTAGGTACACCTGAAATCCAAAAGCAGTGCACCGGGATTTCCAGGGTTTTGGTATATTACCAAGTGAGTCAACATATAGTACATTCCAGCCCCTGAGGAGGAGAATTTGGCAATATTAAGAAAACTGCATGTGTGCTTACTCTTTCATCCAGTACCCCAATTTGTTAAGAATTTGAAGAGACACCTCCAACAGTATGAAAATATATATGCATAGTGTTATCCATTGCAGTATTATTTGTAACTGCATAATGGAAATTTTCCAAATGTCTAAGAATAGCAGATTACTTGAAGTACATTACGGTACATACCTGTAATGGAGTACTAACTATGCAGCTGTAAGAAAAAAAAAATTAGTAAGATCTTTATGAACTGATATGGAGTGATTTCTAGAGATAATGTTAGATGAATAAAAAGCATATACAGTATGCTGTCTTTCATGAAGGTCAGAAAGCTTATCTTTACAAAAAGAAGCAAAGAAAGGATAAGCCAGGAAATAATGAAGTTTATTACTTACAAGGGATAGAGGGGGTGGAGTGGAAAGGATACAGGAAGTAGTGACAGTTCTCTGAGTATAGCCTTTTATATGTAGTTCTGACTTTTGGAATCAACCCCCTTATTCTTCATTCCTGTCCCCTCTGGTAACCACCATACTGTTGTCTGTGTCTATGAGTTTGTTTTGCTTGTTTGTTGCTTTCTGTTTTGTATCCCACGTGTGAGTGAAATCATGGTTCTTGTCCTTTTCTGTCCGACTTATTTTACTTAACAAGAGACTCTCAGGATTCATCCATGTGGTCTCAGATGACAGTATTCCATCCTTTTTTATGCCTGAGTAGTATTCCATTGTATGTATGTACCACATCTTCTTTCAGTTATCCATCGAAGGACACTTAAGTTGTTTCCATCCATGTCTTGGAAAAATAAGTGGTTTTGCCCCGCCTGTGTGGCGCAGTGGTTTGTGTTGGCCTATGAACCAGGAGGTCACGGTTCGATTCCTGGTCAGGACACATGCCTGGGTTGCGGGCTCCATCCCAGTAATGGTCATGCAGGAGACAGCGGATCAATGATTCTCTCTAATCATTGATGTTTATCTCTCCCCCTCCCTCCCTTCCTCTCTGAAATCAATAAAAAAAAATATATATATATATATATAAAATGACTATATGTGTTGATGTTCTTGGAGCCAGTGTTCTTACTGAAGAAGAGGAACACAGTTATATATGGGGAAGACAAGAGAATCTTATGAGAATAGATTTTAATTCAAGGTATCAGTATGGATTTATGACTTTAAAAATATGTATATGTATGTATTACATGCATGTATATGTGGTCATGTATATATGTATATGTGTACATATATATTTGTGTATATATTTGTATACATGTGTATGTAATATATGCATATATATATTCACATATATTTCTTAGTTCAATTTGTTGAAAAGGACAAGAAGCAAAAGCACCCCAGTAGCAATGAACATACATGAAACCCTGATTTAGTTTCTAATACAACTAACTCTCCACTCAAAGAAACTTGGACTTCTTGGAAAAGTGGCTTATTTTAGGACAAGAGTAGGATAGAAGCTAGATCAGTCTGAGACAGCTTCTAACATTAGAAAGTAAGGAAAGAAATGCCCCCAAATAGGATGGAGACTTGTCACAAGGACACAGGAGCCAGCTTGAAGGAACTCCCACTGGCCAAATTAGAGATAATTTGAGTGCTAAAACAGTACAGTAATAAATTGTAAGCTATTGGAAGGAAAACAAATTAATGAGTCTATGCTGGCAGTAGAGAAGGAAAAAGAGAGAGCACTTGCTTATAGTAGAATGCCAAGTGCCAATGGATAGATGGAGGAGGGCAGCAGTTGGAAAATTATTATTCTGCAAATATCATTATAAGGACTGGATTAGGCAGGAATCATCAAAAGATCCAAATTTAGGGGCAGCAGGATATTTGCATTGTTCTAAAGTATTTCCCACATATTAACAGAAAAATTTTAGTAATTATAAAGTGAGGAAATTGGACAACAGCATGATGAGGTAGTTAAGATTAACACAATTAATGCAGGGCAGATGAACATCCGTGATATCCAGAGCAAGACACAGTGTCGCTCATATAGTACTATTTTTTAGCCAAGAATACATACCCTGAATCTAATCATGAGGGAATATTAGACATATATTTGTATATATAAAATTAAATTACAATTATCAAATAGCTTTTGGTAAAAACAGTTCACATTTCCATCAGTGGTATACAAGAGTGCATATTTCATTTATTTTTATCAGCACTAGTATTATGAAAATAAAACTTTGCTGTGATCATTATGAAAAATGATTTGCTTTGTTTTTATTAGTGAGGTTCACATATTTTTTGTTTGTTTTCTATTTTAAATTTTCTTATATTTATTGCCCATTTGTACTGTTATTTTTCAAGAATGAAGCTAACTAGCTTTGAAGTAAATGATTTAAAATAGTCTGAAATCTAGTCATTTCATCCCTTCCTTGCCTGTTTCTGTTGATACTGATAGTTTCTGTTGATAGGGATGACAGGAGCTACATTTTAACTAATAGTTTAATATGTTCTCCCATTCAGTGAGTTGTCTTTCATTTTGTTGATAGTTTCCTTTGTTGTGCAAAAACTCTTTAGAGAACATATTCACCAGTGATACATCTGATAAGGGGTTAGTATCCAAAATTTATAAAGAACTTATGAAACTCAACACCAAAAAAAACAAACAATCCAATTTTAAAAATGGGCAAAAGACCCAAATACACACTTCTCCAAAGAGGATATACAGATGGCCAATAGACATAAGAAAAGATTCTCACGTCCCTAATCATCAGAGAAATGCAAATTAAAACCACAATGAGATATCACCTCACACCTATCAGAATGGCTGTCATCAGTAAATTAACAAACAACAAGTGTTGGTTAGGATATAGAGAAAAGGGAACCCTTGTGCACAATAATTTTTAAAACATGCAACACCTGACTGTTTATTCAGGGACACTGATCTCTTTTCCCTTAGATCGTCAAATAAAAAAAAAAATGACAATAGCCAACACAGCAATAGCTGTCCAGTGTGAATGAATCAAAATTATACCTATATTTTTTGTCAAGTTGGCAAAAATATGTCTTTTCTGGGGAGCTGCAGAATTTTAGTTATTAGTTTATGTGTGCCATGAGATGGAAAAGGTTGAAAACTACTGCTCTAGGGAACAACAGAGGATACCTAATGTTCTCTGTTAATCTTCTTATGTCTCTACATTGTTTTCAGATGAACAGTTTACTTGCTGACTTCAAGCCATTCATTGCATTAGTGGAATTATATTTTTCTCATTAAGTATGCATTTACACAATATCCACCACCACATTTGCTTGCCTTCTCACCGCTAGAACTTGCACATTCAGTAGGGTCAGACCCAGTAGCAATGAAGGAATGTATGGATGGCTGAGAATAACAAGATATAGCTCTCTTCCCTCAGAAAAATGTTGTTTTGTGTGTTTCTTTCCCACCCACAGTTGCAGGTGAAGATCATGAGATACGTAAGTGATATAAACCAAAGCATATGGTAGCAGTGGATCTTCTTTTCTTTTTTAGCAGTGGATCTTTAAGAATAATGAGGGGAATTGTCAGGGAAAACCTGACAGACTAACCACATGACCATAAGTAAATGTATTTTGTTGAGCCACAGAATTTCACATTAAAATCATTCAAGGATTACTTTGATGTAGAATTAGGGGATTGAAGCAAGGTTACTCCACTTCCGTCCAGTTCTAAATTTTTTTTTTTAATTACAGATTTTGTGTAGTCTTAAGAACTGCCTTACATAGTTTTTTTGGAGGTAATTAGGGCACAAATAAATGAAATCTCCTTAGACTATTTATTCTGGCTGTTGTTTTCTAAAAAATTTAACAAAATGGGAAGTCTGATGTTTTTTGTTGAGACATGAATGAAATGTCTGTTTAAACATAATTGAATAATTAATTATTAAAGTTGGAAAAAGGTATGTGAGCATTGTTATGTACCATAAAAATTAAGGTTCTATTTGAACCATAAATCACCAATGACTTCTGGCAACTAGCTATCTGTTCTCAAAAAAAGCTTTTTCCTCTAATCTCAGCATCTGAAGTAGACTATACATGTTGTTTTCCTCCATTTAGGAGAATTATTACCCTTTAAAATAAAAAGGGAAATAATGGAAAAAGAACTTCTGATATTTGGAAATAGATGCCAGTTGTTTTGCTGATCTGAGGTTCAGGTCTGAGGTTTCCATCAGAGTCCTTATAGCATGTGTTCAGCCAGAAACCACATTATCAGATAATTCTCCTAAGACAAAACTGACTATAAGTGAGGAGATTTATGGATTGATAACTCATATTCTAGGTCTTAATACCTCCATTATTATTTTTTCAAAGATTTCCTCTTATACTAGCAACTTTAAAAAATACTTTCTAGTAGTTCTGTGCCTATTTAGAATATAGTTAGAAGTAGACTTGAATCTACACATAATTTTGGAATTAAAGGAGATTAGGTACTTTTCTTCTTCTTTTTAAAAAAAAATATATTTTATTGATTTTTTACAGAGAGGAA